AATACTTCATATTTATGTGTAAGATGAAAGTGACTATACACTCACTTGATTTGACGGCAATTGAACAACACTTCATCCCTTAAAACAATCTTTTTCGATGGAACCGAGACGTTTTCTCAAAAATCGGGCTTTACGTGGGCAGAGTTTCGACTTGTTAAAAAATGAAATAAGTTATTAACTAAATAAGTTTTTTTATTAAAACTCTAATCATCATTTTCCTATATTTATAGACATCATATCTCTCTCTCTCTCTCTCTCTATATATATATATATATATATATATATATATATATATATATATATATATATATATATATATATATATATATTCCTTTTGTGATCAATGGTTTTAGAAGCCAAAAAATGGAGAAAAGCATTGAAATAGTTATTGTTCCAAACTTTGTGTGTTTATATATATATATATATATATATATATATATATATATATATATATATATATATATATATATATATATATAAGGTTCAAATGTTTTTCACATCTATTGTGTGCTAGAATGCACCAATAAAAATTTACTAAAAATTAAATTATTATTTGATCAAATAAATATAGATATTAAATGATATCCACAATTATAATTATTTTTGTATGGTAACTAATTAGATTCGTTATTAATATTATTAATAATATTTTTTCTGAATAAATTCACATCTTGTTTTTCATGTATGGTTCGTATTTTGTTTTATAACCTACTCACTTAATATATAACAAAGTTGCCTAGAACATGGAAAAAGAGTGTGTATTCTAGTAAAATGAGAGTTTATTCTAGAAAAATGAGAGTATATTCTATTAGAATAAGAGTGTATTCTACTAGAATACACTCTCATTCTTCGTATTTCATATAACTTTGTTGTATTTTAAGTGGGTTGGTCTATAAACAAAACACGAACCATACATGAAAAACTAAATGAGAATTCATTTTGAAAAAATGTTGTTGTTGATATTAATGACGAATTTAATTAGTTTCCATAAAATAGAGAATTATAATTATGAATATCATTTAATATACATACAATTATAGAAATCATTTAATATCTATCTTTATTAGTGTATTCTAAGATACAGTAAATGTGAGAAACACATTAACCTAACCGTATGTATATATATATATATATATATATATATATATATATATATATATATATATATATATATATATTGGTAACATATTCATGGTTATTGTTTTTTAAATTCAAAGTTCCCTTCAAATTGAGGTATATAAGGAAAAATGAGTTAAATTTAAATGAGAAAGTTTATAAAATATTTTAAATAAAGGAGGTTAAATTAGTTAATGTTTTATACACATACACACACAGCACACACACATTTTTATGTATTTTTAGGGTTTTTTGTTTTCTATGGAACCTAAACACAGAGACACACACACACACACACACATATATATATATATATATATATATATATATATATATATATATATATATATATATATATATATATATATATATATATATAACTATTGCAAAATATTAACCATTAATTTAATAGTATGGTTGAATTTAATCATGAAGGAATGAAACAAATAACATGATTTAATGAGCATGTAATTGATTGACTCATTACATTCATTTGTAGAAATATAAAATGAGTCTTTCAAATATTTTGTTTGTTATTTATAAATAAAATAAAATTGCTAAATAAAAAATTATTAACTTTTAAAAATAAATTTAATTGAATAAAAATCAATCATAAAATAGTTATATATAAATATATTTTATTTTGTTCTATGTATACTGTTTTGAAAATAGTTAAAGATTAACATTTATTGAATGCTATACGAATTTGAAAAATTTGCAATTATAATAATCTATGGCGAGAAAAAATATTCACTTCCTATGGAATAAACATAACTTTTTTTTCCTTTAAGTCATAACGTTTCATTTCAATATCCACTTGTAGCCTTAGGTTTTGTTGCTATTTTAATGGAAAATCCAAACCAATATTAAGCAATTGGGCTAGAGGATCATTAACCGGGCAGCCCAAAACCGCACTTGGGTTAAACCGCTTTTGGCTCAAATCGGCCGGGTATAAGTGTATAAGAAATGGTGGCTCTAATATCAATAGAAGTTCAAATCTTCAGCAAAGGTTTTAGATTTTTGTAAAACGGACTTTTCATGTTGATTGACCAAACTTTCAATTGATTCTACACTTTATGGCGTTTAACCCCCTACACAACTCGAATAATACAAAAAGCTCCAACAAAATTGAAGCACCCAACGACAGTAGACAGCTGCACATGGCGCGGAAGGTGTTCGACAAAATGCCTATGTGAAATTGATTCCGATCACGTTAACCATTTGCCCCCAATCAGGAAAACACGCCTTGAAAAACAAGCTTGGGAGGTGAGGAACGCTACTATCTACAACTTAACTGATCTCCGTTTTGACTTTCTAATTCGAACCAACTGCTCATATAATCTCATAAGTGCAAGTACATACATACATAGAGGTGTATTTGAGATCGAGAAATGTTGAGGCGACCCAGTCTGCTGTCAACTTTTTTGTCGGCGGCCAAACCATGTCTGCTTAATCAGGTACAGGAGTTTATTCCTTTGATTAGTTCTGAGAATGCTTCGATTTTGCTGCTCTTTATATCTATAGTTTTACCAAAAGATTTGAAGTTAATTTAAAGTTGTTTATCTGATATCTGTGCAATAAGCTTGGTTGATTAGGTATGGTTAAAATAGAGATGTTGAATTGCTTTGATTAACCTTAACCTTAAAGCCTGAGCTCCATTGTTGCTATTAGTATTTAGTACTCTAGTTTCAGTTCCAATCTTTGTTAAAAAGGACATATACCTTTGTGAGGCAATACACGTTACTGTGATTAGATGCTTTCACTTAGATGTTGATACATTTGCAATGATGTATATGTATGAGACAATCTTGTACTGATTTTGGAAATTTTGATGTGGAGCTAGTTTACAATTTATCTTATTAGTTGAAGATTCAAAACATTGGTTCTGTTATATAGAGATTTATAATCTTCACCTGTGGTAGAAGTAGAACAATGAAGATAGATGCATATAGACATTCACAAGATTGTATTTGTATACAGATGATTTTGTTATGCAATTCATTTACATAAATTGGTTATATTATCTTTCTTATTGACAAAGGTGGCATATGGATTGAGTTTTCTTGAAGCATTCAGCACAACAACATTACTTAAACCGGTATGTCAGTATCTACAATTAGATCGTTAAAGGTCTTTTATATAATTCAACTTAAAGGTTTAAAAATTATTTATATTTTAGTTGAACCAATATGATCATTTTTCCATCTTCTTTTTATGTAGGCAGAAGGTGGAATCCTGTCAAAAGCAAGGACTCCAAGCATTAACTTTGTATTAGGTAATTAAAAACACATTACATATATAGTTGAGATGTTTTTGTTTAAAGTTTAGATGTATTTGCTTGATAAATAATATAATATAATGTATATGTAGGAGGCCCTGGTGTTGGAAAGGGGACTCAATGTGCAAGGATTGCTGAGACGTATGGATTCACACATCTGAGTGTTGGAGACTTACTGAGAAATGAAATATCTTCCAACACTGAATATGGGTATGTGAAATATCTTCACCTTTTTAGTCAATAAATATAAGTAATGTTTGTTGATTTATGGTTTCAGTGAAATGATTTTGGAGACAATTACAAAAGGGAAAATTGTTTCTTCAGAAGTGACAGTGAAACTGCTAAAACGCACCATTGAATCTAATGAAACCGATAGATTTCTAATCGATGGTTTCCCAAGAAGTGAGGAGAATCGTGTGGCTTATGAACAGATTGTGAGTTACATTACTACATCCTTTCCTTTGTATAACTTAAATATATTATTTATTTGTTCATTAAAAATGAAAAATCTTATCATGTTTTGTTGTTACAAATTATTTGTAAGATTAGATTGGAATTGAACCGGGTGTTGTACTTTTCTTTGACTGTGATGAAGAGGAGATGCTGAAACGAGTACTACATCGTAATCAGGTGTGTGTGTGTTTTGTTTTTTTTTTTTATTCCTTTTTTTTTTTTTTTTTTTGTAATTTGTTGTAAAATTCTAAAAATATTTGTGATTGTGATAGGGGAGGATTGATGATAATATTGATACCACAATGGAACGACTTAAAGTGTTTGAAGCTTATACTTTACCTGTTATTAAATACTACACTGAGAAAGGGAAGCTTTACAAGGTTCTGATTTCTGACTCACACTTTTAAGCAATATCTTTAAAAAATCTATATATGCAAAATATAATCATTCGTTTTTTATTTTTTATTTTAAATCATGCAGATTAATGCCATAGGATCAGAGGACGAAATCTTTGAACGAGTTCGGCCTATTTTCTCATCCCTACACACAACATGATGCCCAAAAGAAAAATCAAAATCATTTCTTGACAAGGTTGTTTTTTTCGTTTGACAAACCTATGTCATTAAAATATTGCCTTTCTAAAGATGATGGAAAATGTTGTAATATCTGTGTGTGTCAATAAATCAATCTTGGACTGGTTATAGGGGAAATAAGAATCTCTGTATTTTGTTAATTGTTAGGGAAAATAACACAAAAGCCATTGTTGTGTGGTTGGGGCTTAAGTTGTATTAAAACCATTCTATTTACTTTTATAAACTATAAACAATCCTACTTTTTGACTTGTTAAAGAATATTGTATCTTAATTAACAATACCAACCATAATATAGGACTATAGGTCCTGTGAAAGTGAAGTGTTATCAAACCCAACTCAACTTTTTGACTTTTAAAACAAGAACACCGTTTGATAAATATTCAATATGGGAAAATTAAATTAGTATCCTTTAAGAAAATAAAAAAACAAGCGAAATGTGGACATGAATATGATATATGAGTGTGAGTATGTATTCCAATGAAATGAAGGCCAACATATTACACAAAAAGGCCAATATAAATTAGTATCCTTATAACAAGTACCTCCTACAACTTAACTGTTTTTTTTTTTTTTTTTCTTGAATGGCTGTTACTAGTATTATCCAGTGTCAAATCCTCAACGCATTTTCTTTCAACAAAAATCAAAATCAAATTAAGAAATTATCATTAGCCAAATTATCTCCAACGCAACTTCTTGTAAACCAAAAGCGTTTCCCGCAAACTAAACTTGAAGCACTTGCCAACGTTGTCGATGACCTTGAAGCCGCTGTCAAAAATGGCATACAGATCGATGATCCCAGTATGTTTTCTTCATTGCTTGAAACTTGCTTCCGTTTGGAAGCTGTTGAACAAGGTATCCGAATTCACCGCTTAATACCAAAAACACTTCTACGCAGAAACGTGGGTGTTTCATCAAAGCTTCTTAGATTGTACTCGTCTAATGGTTATATCGAAGAAGCCCACCAAGTGTTCGACTATATGTTTGACAGAAACTCATCTGCTTTTGCTTGGAATTCACTTATATCAGGCTATACCGAAATGGGATTGTACGAAGACGCATTGGCTTTGTATTTTCAAATGGTGGAAGAGGGTGTAGACCCAGATGGGTTCACGTTTCCTCGTGTGCTCAAAGCTTGCGGTGGCATGGGGTTGATTCACATCGGTCAGCAAGTTCACCGTGAGATTATTCGTTGTGGGTATGTGAACGATGGATTTGTGCTTAACGGGTTGGTTGACATGTACGCTAAATGTGGTGACATTGTGAAAGCACGTAAAGTGTTCGATAAAATTCCTTCAAAAGATCTAGTTTCTTGGAACTCGATGCTTACAGGGTACGTGAAACACCAACTCTTATTCGACGCTTTGGTCATATTTCGATTCATGATACAAGACGGGTACGAGCCAGACTCCATTTCAATTTCCACAATCCTCACAACTGATCTGTCACAAAAACTCGTATCCCAAATTCACGGATGGGTTATTCGTAAGGGAACAGAATGGCATCTACCAATCGCCAATTCTCTGATTCTTGTCTACTCAAATCATGGGAAGTTGGATTTAGCACGATGGGTGTTCGATGAAATGCCTGAAAGAGATTTGGTTTCATGGAACACCATAATTTCAGTACACAAAAACCACCGAAATGCCCTTTCATACTTCAATCGTATGTTGAATTCAAATACTTCCCCCGACGCCATTACATTCGTTTCTGTATTAACAGCATGTGCTCATTTCAGATTGGTGAAAGATGGGGAAATATTGTTTTCTAAAATGACAGAAAAATACGGGATAATTCCAAGTATGGAACACTACGCATGTTTGGTGAATCTTTATGGAAGGGCTGGATTGATTGTTGAAGCTTACAAAGTGATTACTGATACAATGCAATTTGCAGCAGGTCCGACTGTTTGGGGAGCTTTATTACACGCTTGTTATGTTTATAAGAATGTAGAAATTGGGGAAATTGCTGCTGAAAATCTGTTTGAGTTGGAACCCGATAATGATCATAATTTTAAGCTTTTGATGCAGATTTATGGGAAAGTGAAACGTGTAGATGATGTGGAAAGAGTTAGAGTGATGATGGTTACCAGAGGACTCGATTGTTAAAACTTAAAAAGACATATGTCATGTTTAATTGATATGAAATGAAATTGGAGTTTAGCCTAATACAATCGGGTTGCAATAATAATTAAAATTATGGTGGCAATTGGGTTTATGAGGGTCACATGTAGAGTCGTTGCATGATGGATGTTAGACATTAATCGAGTTGCATGGTATAATAATTATTAAAGTGTTGTTTTAAAGAAAAACAAAATCAAAGTTTTATAAGGTTAAAGTGGTCTTTTGAAAGAAACAAAATCAAAGTTTTTAGTAATTTAATCAGCAAAAAGAGAATCAATAATTAAATCAAAAAAAATTGCAGACTATAATTATTATTGTGGTGTTGCTCATTCTCAACTGATTTAACCGAATTTTATTTCAAATTGGTGCAGTCAGCCAAATTAGACATGAATCTTTTGGTTAAATTCAGTAACAAATCACGGGTTCTATTTTAGGCAACAAAGTCATGATATGGCGACTAGAGTTTAAGTAACGCCTTAACATGCAAAGTCTATAAGATTTTGAGTTAGGAGATTTTTGTATGGACCCCTCTCATTCTCTGTACTTTGTTTTTTTTTTTTTTTTTTTTTTTTTTTGCTTTTTGTTTTTATTTTTTTGAACTATTTTTATAATGAATATATATTTTTATTTTTTTTTTCTTTTTTATAATACATATTTTTTTGTTTTTTTTAAACTATTTTTATTAACACCATCTCTATGTTATTATTCCGTTCTGACTATCTCTATGTTATTTTTTCGTTCAGACTGATTGCAAACCTAAATTAAATGACCAAAACAAATCGAAAGTTTTTTTTTTTTTTTTTTTTTTTTTTTTTTTTTTTTTTTTTTTAATGAATTTAAACAAATAAAAATATTGATTTTCCATATCCAGAAAACATTAGTCATTTGATGATCCTCTTGTAAATCAACCTTAACATAATGAACATTGTTAAGGAGGGCGATATTTATAATTGGATGATTTTGGAAATCTTGTGGACTATTACAAAGTGGGAAAGACGATGAAGATTCGAGCCTGCTTAAGAAATGAACAATAACATCATACTTATTAGCAATTAGAATACCACTGTCAGATATAATCATCCAATATTTTGCAATCATGGGTGTTCCATAGAATACCATTGGATGACCCTCTTGTTATTAGTGTTTTGTACTCTATTAATTATTTATAATTAGTTAGTTTAGATAAATGTAAATATATATAATAAATATATAAGTGATGTCTTCATTTAACGTTTTTTTTTAATATTAGAAAAACTATGGATAGAACAATCAATTTTGTTTTTACGGTAAAGTAATAAAAGAAGCTATTGAAGTGTAATTGTATTTATATATTTGCATTACTCACGATGAATTTTTTTTAATTATTAAATACAAAAAATCAAAAAATACAAAAAATAGAAAAGATTAAAAAAAAAAACACAAAAAATTAAAATTTAAAACAACTGGATGACGAAAAAGGAAGGTACATGAGAGAAAAAATTAAAAGATGAGGGTACATAAAATAAGACCTTTGAGTTATTATCATTCACATTTTAACAAGGAAAATGATCTGTACAAAAAATCACGCTACAATTTATGCATTAAAATATTATATTATATAATTCTTAAAACATAAATTGTTTTGTATAGAAAAAAAATTAATAATATAAAAGTATTTCTAATAAGAAAGCCACATAAAATATAGAACCTAAAGAAGCTACTTCTTTTCCAATATTATAGAAATACCCAAATAATTTTACATGAGTAATCTTGGGTTTGTCTCTAAAATCATATCGTGCGCAAAAATTGATTTAATTAAAAACCGGACCAAACAAGAACTAATCATACTTCGTTCATATTTTAAGTTTTAAATTTTTTAAAACTTTGACTCAAATCTTTTTTAATCTTCATTATTAACCCAAAATCAATGTGTCTTATTTAAAACAACTTATATCTTTTTTAGTAGCACAACTTATAGTTTATCCGCTGTAAAAACATTTTCTCAATATTAGTAATAAGTAAATAACTTATCAAAAGTTTCTTAAATAAATGAATAAATAGGAAAATTTAATTTATCAACAATTTTTTATTTAGCTCAATAAATGATCATGAAATATTGTTATCTAAACATTTAAAACTCATATTATATGTAATCTTTTATTTTCAATTGCATATTAGAAATTATTATTTATATCAACCTTTTAAGTTGTAGGGCGTGTTTGGTACAGATTTTTTGGAAGCGTTTGGGGGCTTCTAGTTTTTAATTTTTGATAAAACGTTTTAGTTTTTAAACAAAAAACTTCGTTTGGCAATACGAGCGTTTAGCTTTTGGTTTTAACAAAACGTTCCAATTCTAAAAGCTACTTCATGTAGCTTCTAACAAAACGCTCCTGAACTTTTGAAATCAATTTTCATAATTACCTTTAAAATTATATATATATATATATATATATATATATATATATATATATATATATATATATATATATTTATTTTTAATCAATTGTCCTTTTATGTAATTTTATTATTTCAAAAGCTTCCAGTTACTTTTACCAAACATTCATATAATAAATAAAAGTTACAACTTCCCGCTACTAGTTAACCGCTACCTACTTCCAGCTAACAGCTACTTTTACCAAACACGCCCCTAATATAATAAAATTTTAGCGTTTCAAACAAAGAACAATATTAAGCGATATTGTCATATTGTGGGATGGGTCCTGAATTCCCGATCACTGTTGCTGATTCGCAAGATATCAAAATGGGTTCCATTCCGTACAAAAATAATGAAACTTGTGTTCATACAACCCGACGCGATCCTATTAGTCTTATCCGAACTCTTACTTTTATTTTATTTTCCATAACTATTAAAAACGTCAATTATTAACGTATGTGTAAAGTCCCCCAGATTTCAATAGTAACAAATATTACGATAATATAGATTAATAGACGTCATAAAATGAATGAATCCCATTTAAATTTTGTAAGAGTCAAAATGGTTTGATTGGACGAAAAACTCATCAATTATTATGCGCCTAAGGGTTTTTTTTTTTTTCTTTTTTTTTTTTTTTTTTTTGTGATTAAAAATATATTATTATAAGAGATGACTTAAATTTCGGAGATAACGCGAGAGAATTTATTATTTCACCCTCCTTTCAGGAAATGCATTTGTTGATAGAAATCAATAGATACTAGTGTAAGACTGTTTGATCAAAGAAGTGACTAGTCATTTGATTTTCAGAATAATTAAAATTTTGATTTTTCAAGAATAACTACATATAATTGTGATATATGACTTATGCACACATGCATATTTTGATTCCATCTTATTTTCCTTCAAGTATACAAAGTAAAGTTGACATTGTATATTTTTTTAAACCAAAAAAACTATATTTTTATAACCAAAAAAACTTTTCTTTTAAGTTTTTTAAATCATATTATTTTAGTTTCCAAAAATCTTAGTACAATAAAAGATTTTGTGGAAACTGTATTATTTTATTAAAATATATCGAGTAAAGATGTTGTGAAAATACGAAACTATAATGATGTCATAACCGATAAATAACATAAGTTACAGCATAAAGACCTAACGACCCTAAATACAATTGTAGGCTGTCTCTTAATCACTCGAAATTCCAATCAAGTGTTAGCAGATTTAACTTGTATCCAGTGATGCATATAATTTGAGTGGGCCAGGTTTAGAAAAGAATGTTGAGGCACATAAGGTTTTCAATCTCACAATATTATTATGATAATAATATATAATTATCAAACTTGCAAAACCAATTGTTATCAAACATTATAGATATATAATCCAATGAAGATATCTATAAGTCACTACACTCATACATACCAAGCTCAAACGATTCTCACAAATCCTAATCCACGATCATCAAGAAGAATCACCTCAACTGATGAAATCGTTATGGTTTGACTACATAGTTAGGGGATTCTTTGGCCAGTCAAAACGGCAAACCAAGCCATCAGAGTATTTGCTAAATATGGTATCCCATTTTATCTATGTATATGGGTTATAAGTCCACACTAGCAGCGTAATTCACAAGATTGTCTAGAATGATCAACTGTTGTCATCTTACTCTGGTAGATATAAAAAATATAGTACTCTGGTTCATAATCTGAACATCAACACCTGATAGTGCCATACAACAAAGCTCTACTCTCCATTCCTATACACACTCCCTTAATATGATGCTACCCAATATCCAAACTTAGTGAACTAAGCATACTTTATACATCTTAGTTTAAAACTAGACAAGACTATAATCCATGTAATCAACTTTCAATACCAACCATGTTTAGACAACAGTATCATAATCTAATGTATATATTTAACACAAAGTATCAGGTATTTTATAGATATTAATCTTTTAAGTAATCATACTTCCCTTAAGAATATCACACATACAATTAACACATGTATAACCATATCTGGTTCGCACCGTGTTTATTTAATATTATCAATTATACAATTAACACATATTCCATATAATAAGCATTTAATTCACATATAAACTTTCAACAAATATTTAATACTTTTGATAAGTATTTGTAATAAAATCATGTTCTTGAAATTAATTATCACAAAGTACTAAAATAATATCACAAAGTAAAACCCATACGTCAATGTTTCAAAACAGTAACTAATAGTTATGTAGAACTGTATCAAAACTGTATCAATCACTTTTATGAAAAACTAAAAACATCTCCCAGGACAGTTGAAACTGTGGTGTATGCGATGCCATCAACCCGAGCTCTTCCCTTTACTTGCGGAAGTACCTGAAACCAAAACTGAAACTGTAAGCACGAAGCTTAGTGAGCTCCCCCAAACTACCACATACCATACAATACATATAAACACATACTGGGCCTTGCCCACTGCATCGGACCGAAGTCCGGAAACTGCATCGGACCGAAGTCTGGAACTAGCCAGGGCCTTGCCCTCTGCATCGGACCGAAGTCCGGAACTACTGAGGCCTTGCCTCCCT